AGTGTAAGGCCCCTAAACCAGATGGCCCAGGAGGGGGACCAGGAGGCTCTCATATGGGTAAGGAAGAGTCAGAGCTGGTAAAAAAGATTTGAGATCAAAAAGCCCTTAATTTTAAGCAGGAAGGCTAGAGGGAAGGTAGGGATTATGAGACTACGATATTTTTTTTCGTTGTAGGAGGTAGCTATGGAGATGATCGTCGTGGTGGCAGAGGAGGCTATGATCGAGGTGGCTACCGAGGCCGAGGCGGGGACCGTGGGGGCTTCCGAGGGGGCCGGGGTGGTGGAGACAGAGGTGGCTTTGGCCCTGGCAAGATGGACTCCAGGTAAGTAGGACTCTAAACTGAAATAAGAGTAATAGAACAGGTCCTGGGATACCAGGCTTTTGTTGAGAAAGTTTCATTTTGAGGGCTGTATTGGAAGTTGAGATTGTAACTATAGTTGGGTAGGGAAGGAGGGAAGGAAAATATCTTAAATGAATCTGTAGATTCATATTTATGTATACTCAGAGATGAGACATTTCTTGGGCTAGGGTTTTGGGAGTGGGGTGGGTGGAGAGGTTGGTAATTCAAACCTTAATGGATAATTCTTTCTTGCAGGGGTGACCACAGACAGGATCGCAGGGAGAGGCCATATTAGCCTGGCTACTGAGGTTCTGGAACAGCTTTTCTTCTATACCCAGTGTTACTCTCATTATTTTGTAACCTTGCAACTCCTGATCACCCACGGGTTTTTTGTGTCCGACTATGTAATTGTAACCATATCTCTGGTTCCCATTAAAAACCATCATTTTAGTTAAATTTTTTTTTCTCTCCCCCGCCCCCCCCCCAAAGGATGTCCTGGGCAGGAATGTGAGGAGTTTTCCTTTTAGATCCTCCTACTAGGAGGAACTGGAATAAAGTGTTTGATAACTTGGTCTAGGGGAGAGAAAAGGTCAAGTGGTATCCTTGAAAGTAGAGATTAAACTTTTCTGTCATTGCCAAAGTTAACGATGGAGTTAACGAAGATCACATGATGTCATGAATTTTGCCCAAAATTTGTCCAACTGTGGGCGTTTTTCTTTTACCACATGTACATGCTGGTCTTAGTTTACTACTTATAGCAGCAGCCTTATCTTTAAGGACTTTTGGTTCTTTGAACACTTTTAATGGTGGGGCTCAAACAAATGAGGTTTGCCTTTGAGACAGTATTCAAATTTGGGGAAAGCACATAATCGAAATGAGTCTTTTGCATGAAGGAGAGTGCCCATTCACTGCAGTAATTATGTGGCCTCGCTCACTTTACAGACAAAACAAAGTGCATGGGTTATGTGGCTCTGGGAATTAAAATGGTGGAGCCAGGATTTAGTCCTACTATTCTGGCTTAATTTCATTCTGAAACCATTGTTCTGAAGGGAACAAACTCATCCCAAATATTTGTTTCCTTAGACCTTAAGAGGATGCTAAATTTGAGGAAGAGATAGAAGTGGGGGAAGGTTGGGGTATTACCTTGTATTTCAAGGTAAGACCCTGAACCCTAATTTTCTTGAAGGTAGGGCTTAGGTAGATAGTTGCTGTGGGGAGACATGGGTCTACCTGGGTGTGTCTCATCCTGCATGTGCCCAGAGGGTGAAGTCATTGCTATTTTTAGACTTGAGTGAGCTTTAATGATTGGGGGTGGAAAGTCCTCTTTCAAGGGTGGGGTGTTGGAGATGGGGAAAAAGTGGGGAGAATGACTTAAAACCCCAGAACTCAACAATATGTGCAATTTTTGACCCCCAGATACCCTTTTATTTTCCAAGTCTTGAGTTTTAGAAACTTGCTTGCACCTGCCAATCAATTGTTGAGGATGAACTTTAGTAATACAGAACTGGAAATTACAGCCAACAGCAAAAAAGGTACTTTGCTGTTAGAAGCATGTCTTGTAGAGTGCTTCAGATCCCTGTTTGGGAAGTGCCTTCTCTGCTGAAATTGTCAAGTATCCTGTAGGTGTTTTCTAGACCAGAGTTCATCCTCATCTCTGGTGACTTCAGACAGGGGAGCTATGGCTTTATTAAGAGAGAATAGTTGCTTTACCCTGCCTAGAGATTGGGGCGCTCAATAACTAAGTGTAGGCTGAGAATGGTTGAGGTTTTTCCAGGCAATACTTTAAATTGGGGATTATTGAACTTGGTCCACGTGAGAAACCCTCAGAGCCAAGGATATAGCAATATTCTCCCTCCTGTGGTCAGGTTTCCTCTTTTTTTTTTTTTTTTTTTCCAATCTGCTTTCTTTAAATGATGTTTGGTTCAAATGGCCTGATTCGTGTGTCTGAGAAGTTGATTTCTGCTTCACCTAGTAGGATTCTGGTGTTAAGGTTTGATTGTGATTCCTTGGTCCCCGGTGGAGGTTGAAGTTCCTTGTGAGACCTGATTACTGACTGGGACTATTAGTATATAAGTTCTTATTTGCATCTTTTAATGGTCTTCAGTGACATTGACTAGTCTTTAAGTAAAAGGAAGGTAGGGTTCCAGGTGTCTGTTAGTGGGTAGATCCAGTTTGGAGGCCTTACAGGAGAATGGATGAAGGCAAGTAGTAGAGGGAATGTTGGTTCTGAGAAGCTGCTTCTGCTATCAGCTCATTGGTGAGAAAGTAAGATCTATGGGGTTTGGACTTGGGGCCCCCTATTCTTTACTGCAGTACTTTTTAATAATAGGCCAGTAATAGCCAGTCATATTTCTTTTAATGGCAAAGATTTTAGACTGGTCTTTTGGAGTCTAAGGAATATATTAATGAATTATTGAAAATGGTCTACAATCTTGAAGCACTAGATACCTAGCTTTTTGAATTAGGATTGAGTTGGATTTCAGTAGGAAGAAAGGGGAGGGTAGGTTATGGGTGGAAAGTGAGCTACTACTGGTCTGCTTGCAGCCTCTGATTAGTTCTCATTCTTCACCATCATGTGCTGTTACTGCCTGCATTTCAGTAACTTGTTTACAGGGCTGAGGTTATGTCATGTGTAGATTGACCAATGGTTAAGGCATAGGGTCCAGTTCCTATGAGTTACCTTCACCTAGGCATGTTTCTTCCCATTTGCAGTCTCTCAGTGATCCACCATGGGTTTTGTAACCAGATCTCACTTCCTACTAGTTTTCAAGAGGCTAAACTCAGTGCTAGGGTGTCATCTGCACCCATTCCTCCCAGAACTCAGTCTCTGTTTCTTACCTTTGGGCCCTCAGTACTTAGCCTCTTTCTTTTCTTCTTTAACTTTATTTTGAAATAATTTGAGATTTGAAGAAAGTTTCCACAAAAATTACCTTGTTCATGGTACTGGCATATAAGAACTGAAGAAGTAGTGTCAAGTGGATCTTGGCAACAGATTTGACTAGGGCTTGTAGAAATTACTGGGTGTTAACCTTATGGTGTTAGCAGTTAGAAGTTTTCAGAGACCATTGAATCTAAAATTCCCATTGACCTTGAGGCAGGAACAGGTGAGAAAAGTGTGTGTACCTTATGAGCAGGAGTTTGGGGTCTGGAAATAGTGTTCTCAGTTCTTTGGATTGTGGTCGTAGCCCCAAATCTTGGCTATGGTGCTAGAAAGAAGGGCTCTTTCTTAAGAACAGTTGAGAGCCACCAGTTTAGGAACTAGAGACAGGAAAGAAACTTGGACTATTGAGTTGAAGATTGGGGATTCCCTGTGCTTTAGAGGAACCAAGCTTAGGCAGATTGAAGTGGAAGGTGGTTGGGGTGGGCATGGGGAAATCCTTGAAGAGTGCAGTCGAACTTTCCAGGTAGTACACTGCACACACCTCATGGTGGCAGTGTTGCATAGTTGCCCAGATACCCTGCAGCTGTTCCGTACAGCTTCCTAGGGCTTCATAGCACCCCCTTCAGGGTGGGACCTGTCTAGGTGGACAGCTTTTTTTCTTGTGTTTCCAGATTTTGAGGGAAAGCTGTCTCGCTCAGTAAAAGCAAATCCCCAAGAAAAATTTTTTAACTTAAATAGGGCTGTTTCTTAGAATCATTTCTTTGGCCTCATGCCTGCACTTTTTTTTTTAAAATTTTCTATTTTTTTTTATGGTGACATTCATTGGTTAATGAAATCCAATAAGTTTCAGCTATAACTTTAACAGTAAAGCATATATATTTACATGTGTGTTCACTTTCCATAGTTAGGTTTCTTTCACCACATATTTGATTTCTTTTAGCACGTCTACCTCCTACCTCTCCCCTCTTCCCTACCCTCTGGTAACCACTAGTCTGTTGTCCATGAGTCTCTGTCCTGTTCATTTGTTGCTTTTATATATCCACATGTAAGTGATATCATGTGATTCCCAACTTTTTCTGTCTGGCTTATTTTGCTTAGCATGATTATCTTGAGATCCATCCATGTCGCAATATTTCATCTCTTTTTAAGGCTATTTGTTGTGCAAGGAAGTGTTAGCTGTGTCCCCAGCTTATGAAGATCATTAGGTTTCTGTGAAGTAAAAAAAAAAATCTAAGAGATGCATGGTAACTGCCATTTGTTACTTTTTATATGTAAGGCACTTGTACAGAGATTGAAAAGATTTCTTTTTATGGGGCTCAGTCTCAGTCCTATGTGAAAATACACCATGACAATATGGTTTGCCACTGGAACAGAAGAGTTCATACCGTAGCTGAGGGCATGCTAGGACAGGTAGAAGATTTCAAGGTGTTCAGAGATAAGAGGCCAGCATGGTAGGGAACAGGGTGTGAGCAAATAGGGTAGCTGGGATCACTGGGTATGTGAAAAAAGGAGAGGTTGGTTGTGGGGTCCTTTAAGGGGCAGAAGGAGAATTTAGGTATCCTAAAGTTAGAAGTGAGACTTCCCATGGTAAGTTTTGATCATGTGAACCCTTGAAGGTGATAGAGCAGAGGCAGATAAGACATTAGGCACAAGCCAGGTGGGGGCAGTGAGGTTGAAAAGACGATTGCAAGACTGATTAAATCTGGGCTGTATGGACCATGATAAGATTTGTTTTCTAGTTAGTCTGCTGTTGCCATATGTTTAAGATACAGGGTTGGTTAAAGGAGAACACGTTCACTTTTGGAAATGGTAAGGTCTTTGCAGAACATGTAATTGAACACATCGCAGGGATTGAATAATAAGGCTTGAATTATGAGACTCAAGAAGACTTGGTAGAAGAGGGCTGAGTGAGAGTGGAATGGGGAGTATCAGCATTTTATGGGGTGGCTGGCTAAAGACCAGGGCACAGGATACTGAGGTGTTAGGGCCAATTCCCACTTTGAGGAAGCTCAGCTTTCTTGGAGTCCCAAGTAACCTTAGGAACTGTCCATGTGACTGTGGCCTTGACAGTGGCCACATCTTAAGCTGCTTGATAGCTTTCTCCTATAGCATACCGCTTATTTTCTCTTGCCTGGTATCCCAGTAGATCACAGTAGGGAAATGTTAGACCGTCAGAATGAGATCATATGTACACCCCTAAAGGAGTGTGTTGGGGGAATAAACTGCATTTGCTAATTGTCATCTAGGAGAGGGTATTCAAAGTGAAGTCTTTGTGCAGTTTGTTCATTGTGGGCTGGTGTATCAAGTGGCATAGAACCATCTGTACCCTCAATGCCTGGGTCCCATGTGTCACATCCAGGACCCCTCCCCAGGGCCTTCCTGTTTCTTTGCATACTGCTTCCACCCCAAAGAAAGATGAGAAGGAATTTGGGTACAAAGTGTACTCAGCGTGTCCTAGGATCCTGGTTCCCTAACAGCCTCTGGGAAGGCTCCTTACGTGTTTCCTGGAGAAATGACAATGTGAGTTTGAACTGCTTGGATCCAAGTTATATATGGAGTTTTTTCAGTTGACTTGCATAGTTCAGATGTGAGTTCAAGGGTCAAAGCCATGGTTGGGAATGCCCACATGTGGAGGGCCGACTTTTTATGCACGGATTTAAGATTGAGCAGGTCAGTTTCATATTGCTCAAGGGTCAACTAATATTTTTTCGTAAGCAAAAATTCTATCAAGTAATACCTAGTAGAATTTCTAGTTTTGCTTTTGTGGTCGGTATGTTTTCCGGGCAAGATGTAACCTATAACCTTTCTCCAGGGGGTGGGAAGAAGCAATTAAAAATACTGATGTCAGTTGCCAGTGCCAAAAGGAACCCTAGAATTGGATTTGATGACTTGTGGTCTTCTGTCCTGTGTTTAGATGATAGTGTCTCTCCCTTTGAAAATTGCTCCAATTGTACAATTTTTTTTTTCCCGTGGAAAAAGTGGAAGCTATATAGGTTGGTGAAGAACGTCATAAGTGCCTCTGATAAGTCTGGCTCCCCATAGTTCCAGACCCGTTGTACATACCTATTTTAACTTTTATAGACCGCATGGCTAACTATAGGCTCAAGGGCAGACCCTCTGAGATAGCATTGGAGGAGCCGCCAAATGGTGAAGGAAGGAATATTCACCATGGTGACTGAGGCAGGAAGGATGAATATTTGGGAACCTGCTGCCCTAGTAACAGGCAGTGGAGTAGAGTGTCACCTGAGCCTGTTGCATTTGTACATGTAGCTTATCTCTGCATGTACTTCCAGACTGGAAGTAGGAAAAACACAAGTACAAGCTGGTTTTTCATATACTGTATATAAAAAAGTCAGACTGATTTACCACATACAACCTTTGGCAGTTTCAGCTGCTTCTGGGGAAGACACCTCAGCTCTGCTCCAGGTCAACTACCAGGAAAGGTTGGCTGTCCCTCAGCGCCTGAAGGAGCATATCCTTGCAGGTCAGGTTCCAGGCTGGAGCAAAGCTGAAGAGCTTCCTCATCTTTGCTGGATTGGTGGTCTCTGCCCTCACTGCCTGGTATTGCTCCTCTGACAGAACCTTCCCGTACAGCGCATCCAGCACCCCATCCACGTCTGTGACACGAGCGATGAGGGCTGCCCGGTGTTGGTCCACAAAGTGCAGTGCTGTGGGTAGGAGGGAGGAGAGCAGATGAGCCTGTGCCAGGGTGGGAGCTGGGGCCTGTTCCTGATCTTCAGAAAGCTCTGAATGCACACTGTGGGGCGGAGCTCAAGCTGGCAGCCCGCCAGAACACTCAATAGGGTGGGGTGAGTATAACTTTGTCTCCCTTATCGTCCTCTTCCAAACTAGGCTTGGCTCGAGGTTTGTGAGTGAGTGAGTGGGAAGGGTTGGCCTAGCCTTGCTCTCCTGGTGTTTCTGGCGGAGGGACAACAGGCTGTGCAGGGTTGTGGTGCTGCTGAGCTGGAGATGTGCCCAGGCAGGTGGGGTTGGGTGTGAGGGCCTCACCTGGCATGGCTGCTGTCTGAGGAAGGGCCTTGATCACCGCTGGTGTGGCTCCAGAACCTGGAAGGAAATAAGTCAAGTGGTCCCCCTTCCCTTTCTATCATCTCCAGGCTCTTGGATTCGGGGCCCCTTGGTCTGGAAGTCAAGGTCAATAGAAATATGGGAAGTCTCCCCAGCAGAAGGAGCTTTAATTAGCTTAGGAACAACAGGAAGTGATGAGTCTGAGAGGCAAGTGTTCAGTTTGGGGGTTGGGTGTAGATGAGGGGATCGCGGAGAGCGTGGAGGGGGTGCGCTCACCCTTGCACGTCATTTGCAGCTGCTCTGCTGTCTGCTGCATACCCATTTCGCGCAGCACGAGTGCCGTGAGTTCGGCCCCATATGCCTCCAGGTAGTAGCTGACGAGTTTGTCGGTAAGGTCCACGGCGTCCATGGCCAGCAGCGCCCCCCGCGGGATGCGCCCGTAGCCGTCGCGCAGCGGCACTGAAAGCAGCTTCAGCTTGAATTTCTTGAGTTCGTCGGCGGTGAGGTTCTCCAGCGCATCCAGGATGGCATCGCGTATGCACCCCATGGCTCTGGGGTTCCCCCGCCGCTATAGCTGCCTCACCCCAGATTGTCCACAGACCAGGAAGTCTGCTCCGGGGCGGGACCTGTAGATCCCCGCCTTCTGACTCCCGCCTCCGCCCCAACCCGTTGCTCTCCCGTGCTTCCGACTACTCTGTTGGTTCTCACCCACTGAGGCCTCTGGGCTCAGTCCCCTTGCCATGGGCGGCGGGGGTCGGGGTGGGGGGCCAGGATCCTGTCCTTCAGCTGACCTGCAAGGCGGGACCCTGGAGACCTGGCGGAGAGGGGCTCCTGGGTGGCGCCTGCATCTCCAGGCCTGCAACTAGATAGCACAGACCAGGAACCCAGTTTACTGGAATGCCAAGGCTTAGAATTTTGCCATTCTAGGACTCTGCAATCTCCACGTTTCTCTGAACCTTAGCATCCTCTTACATGTGTCATAGCTTCTTAGAATTATAGAATGCTAACAGCCAGAACCATGTAGCTCCCCCAATTCTACCTAATAGGGAGAAATGAGGTGTAAAAAATGGGTGGAGAGTAGCTGTGATCCACCTCTCTGATCCTGTTTCCTTATCTGTAAAATGGGGTTAACATTCATTCATCCACTTAGTAAATATCCCAATGTAACATGGGCTCCTGAAACAGCCAAATGTCCTTGGGAGAACCAGGATTTGGTCCCAGAAGCTGAATTTCTTAGGAAGTGATGACAGACACTTGAAATGGTTGAGAAAATTCTCTACTGGAGGAAAAGTCACAGGTGAGCTCTGGGCCCAGAGCTCTTGACCCAGAAGAGCAGGTGAGATGTGGCGCACTGGGGATTGGAGCCTAAGCTGTGCCCAGAATTCTTTACATACTCAACATGGCTGAGAAGGCCCTGTTGTACATACTCAACATGGCTGAGAAGGCCCTGTTGGTCTAGCACCTGTGCAGCTCACCAACCTTGTCTTGCACCACACTCTGCTCTCCCTCCATCTCTGAGTTCCAACCTCACTGTCCTCTTGAGTTCCTCAAATGTGCCAGACTCCTTTGCTTATTTAAACCTTTACACATGCTTGCTGTTCCCTCTACTTGGAAATCTGTTCCCTTACTCTATGCCTGACAAACTCTTGAGACTTTAGGTCTCAAATTAAATGTCACTTCTTCAGGGAGATCAGGTTTAGAGTCCCTGCCAGATAGTTCATAACACCTGCTATTTATTTTTAGCTCTCATAGCAATTGTGTGACTAAATCATAACTAATTCTGTTTGTTTAGCATCAGTCTTCCTTGTTAGTCTGTAAATCATGCCTGTCCACATCATCGTTATATCCACAGCATCCACAACAGTGCTTGGCCTGTAGTAGGTGCTCTATAAATCTTTGTGGAATAGAATGAATGAATGAATGAATGGGCCTTGGGGCTCAAGGGAGGATACCAGTAAATGGAAGGTATACTTACGTATTGGCTCTTCAAAGAGAGGCAGCTTTTAGGAGCTGAAGTACTGTGGACTTGAATCCTGGCTCTCCTCCCTAGATGGGTATTGGGAATCCTTCATTTTTCCCTCTTAACAATCACCATTCATTCTAGTGATGTAATCCTGACATATTACACTTTTATTTATTTATTGGGCATCTATCTCTCCACCAGAATGTGACCTCTACGAATGCAGAGACATTGTTTTGTTCATTGCTGTATCTTCAGCATTGAGAGATGCTCGGTGAAGAATTGCTACATGAAATGAATGAGGCTGTGTTACTTTTAGCATGTTGTATTCAAGAGCTTCCAGAAGGGTAGCAGGGCCCTACTTCCTGTCCTTGTGTGTGATGCCACACAAAGGTTGAGTAGTTACTGTTTGTCAACATCTTCATCATGGGTAGCACTTGTGGTCCAATAGTCAGTGTTCCCTGAGTCATGGCTGTTTATTATTGTGCTTCATTGGTTTTTGTCCTTTCAGAATCTCCAACTCATTTCGTGTACTGTGGCCAGAAGTTTATATCTTCCTAGCCCACACATTGATCCTGTCCCTTTCCTGCTCAGAAACCTCCTATGACTGACTCCCAGGGCCTCTAAATCCAATCCAAGTTCTTTGGCTTGGCCTTTAGGCCTTTGCCAACTTCCTCAGCAGCACCTTCTACTATGTTGGCCTCTGGACCACTACATGTGGTACTTGCTCTATGGTTGCCCTCTTTTCCTCCTGGTCTGCTTGGTGGGTTCCTGCCTGACATGAGGAGTCACTTTTTATAAGAAATAATAAAAATTGGAGTCCTTCTTTAGGCTGTGATCCTTCACATGCATTATTTCTAAGCCTTACAACAATCCCTTTGGGATAGGGAATAGTAACCCCATTTTACAAATGAGAAGACAGGCTTAGGTTGAAGGACTTGGCCAAGGTCATGTGGCTAGGGGATCATATAGCTTGTCTAGCTTCTGGATCTGTCTTCTGTCTACTCTTCCCTGCTGACTTTTTTGTCCTCTGTGCAAAAGCAAGTTATTGCTTGGCCATGTCCACAGGATGCCACTACAATGGCTCTAACACAGCGTTTATCATACAGTGTGTTTGTTCACTCTACTTTCCTCACTAGACAGAGCTCCTTGAGGCCCCTCTCTTGTCCACAGCACTCAACACAGGGCTTGGTACAGACCCAGCCTTGATGAACTTTTATTCAATGACAAAAGAATCCTAGAATCTAGAATCATAGAAACCTACCCTTTTTTACGTTTGGTAGAATCTTAGGAGCTTTGTGTGTTTGAGCCTTGGAATTTAAAAAATGATTGCCAGATTCAACCCCCACGTAGAGCAGGATCTCCTCAGCCACATATAGCCATTGACTGCATCTCTTGAACCCTTGTTTGGATAGGGTGGCTCTGGCTTTAAGTAAAACCAATGTAACATTTCAATTGAAACTTTAGGGCAGCAGGAAATTGCAGCTGGGGGAGTGTGTATCATGACTAGAAGAAGAAATTGGGCTTCTTCTCACACCTGGCTTCCTGGGGGTAAAGGAGCTAAGGACTTGTTTCACAGTGGTGTGACACCATGCCCATTTTCTTGTTCCTGCATATCACCACCCCGGATCCTTCCTTTTGGGCCCGGCTTGCACCTGGCATCCAACCCCAGTCACATTTTTGTTCACACACATTTAGACTGAGACTTGGAAAGATCCTGGCTGTAGTTTTAACCTGACATTACCTCAGAGATGTCACAGGGAGGCAAGGGACAAGGGGCTGGGGACATAACCATTCCTTTCCTAGAATGGGAAGTCTCACTTCTTGCAGTGGTTTCAGGCTGGAGCTCAGTGGGAACAAGGATACCTTTTGGTAGGTAGCTGTGTTCTATGAGCACTTTGTGGACTCCGAACTCAGGAGACAAGGTTTTTGAAGAATCTATTTTATTCTAAAAACATGTATTAAGGATTTATTAGATGCCCAACTCCATGATAAGCGCTGGTGGAAAACTAATAGTAACAACTTCTTCCATTTTTTTCAGTGTCCTATGTTCGAGGCACTGTACTAAACATCATATCATTTGATTCTCCCAATAACCCCATGAGGCATGTGTATTTATCCCACCTTACAGAAGAGAAAACTGAGGCTTTCAGAAATAACTGTGGAAGCTACAATGGTAATAAATGAGGAAGCACAGATTGAATCTATGTCCATGTCCTCCTAGGTCAACCAACATCCCAAAAGTCAGAATGTCCTCAAAAATTGACACATTGCTTGGAGAGATTATGTATATGGAAATTTATGCTTCTTCCATATTGTCCAAAAACACCCTTAGAAGGGCAGACGTTCCAATAATAGTAATGATAATATTAACTTCCTCTTTGCAGAATGCTCTAGAACTTACAAAGCACATCCAGAAGATCGTGGAGTAGTGGGAGAAGTAGGAAATCAGAGGTGTTGGACTCACTCAAATTTGATTCCCAGACCCTTTATCTCTTAGCTTTGTGACTTAGGGAGGTCACAGCCCCTCTCTGGGGTCTGTGTCCTGTGTCCTTAATATACTCACCTCACTGAATAGGGAAGTGAGTTGCCCAGGCTTCCTCAGGAAGGTAGATGTAGAGCCTGTTCACTCCTGGAGACTGCCAGGGTGGTTTCCCCCTGGGAAGATGGGGAATAGGAGCCTTGGGAAGCTCTCTGGGAAGCCATGGTAATCACTTCTCCTATGACCCCGTTTTCTGGAAGAAGTCTCAGGGCTCTGAGCTTTGACCCCTGGCAGGAAAGAACCTCCAGTTTTATCTCAGGCCCACCCTTGCTCCCTGGACTAGAGCCAGAGCAGTTGGTGGTGCTAAGATGCTTCCTGGTGTGACCTTCCACCCAACAATAATAATCCTTTGATTGCTGGAGCCAGATTCCTCCTCCTGGGGCCAGAAAGACCACAGACTGCCAGGACACTGGGCAAGTCACTTAATCTCTTTGTGCATCATGACATCCCTATAAGATAGGAACAATGATGGGGTTGTTAAGAGGTTACAAATGAAGTTATGAGGTTATAAATAGATTAAGAATTACAAAGTGCTTGGAAAAAGCCTGGCCCATAGTTAGATGCTTTTGTCATTGTTAAAGTTTCTGAGCCTCAGTTTTCCAATCTGTGAATGGGGGATGACATTATTGCTCTTACAGGGTTCCAGAGAAGATTCATTGGAATAATTAGTAATAGTAATTGCAATAATGTCAATAGCCAACATTTATTGAACATCTTCTATGGGCCTGACATTGTTCTAAGAGCTTTACATGAATTAGCTTGTCGAATTTTCATAACAATCCAATACTCTGATACTAATCCTTAAATTATCTTCATTTTACAGATGAGAAAATTGCGTTAAGTGACTTGCCTAAGGTCACACAACAGGG